ACTGAATAGAATGTATTAAAACCAACTAAATCCAATTAAGCCCAGAATGTTTCAGATAATCAAACATCTGGTTATTTTCTATTAATATCGGATCAGTCCCTCATTCTCTGGGCTCTAAAAGTTGCTCAGTTGTTAAATGCAAGTTGCAGCTCAGGTTCCAGTTGCATCAACTGATGTACATCTCTAGTCTTCTGTATTTTAATGTGTAACTATTAGCAATACTAAGGAGGCTGCATATATTAACCCGCTATGTTTAAATGGCAGATTTCATCATGTTTCCCACCACAAAGGTTTGAAAGCATAAAACATAAATAAATTCCATCATTGTTGTTTCAAAGGGTTCGTTTCTGACTCACTATAAACCTTCGGGGGCCAGTTTGTGGCTTTCTATTGTCATAAACAGAGAGTGGATTTTTTAAAATGAAAATATGGCTGTTTTTAATGCCAATATACAATATTAGCCATTAAAAATCTCCCCACTTTCCTTGATGGGCCCTTGGCTGGATGATCTGGTGAACGCTAAAGTGACCTGAGATGACGTGTTGTGAATTGGCGCTATAGAAATAAACTGAATTGAATTAAAGTTTTGTCCCATTCTGCACAGTCAGCGACGTAACATTAAAAATTACACAATAAACCAAGAAGCAGGAAAATAATCCAATTAAAATATCAATTGAAAGTGTTGATTTAGAACAAGTACATTAAATAAAATTCTTGGGTGTCATATTAGACGATAAGTTTAGCTGGAAACCTCAGATCAGCCTATTTAATCTAAAATAGCCAAAAATGTTGCTGTTATAAGAAGAATTAGTTTCGTCCTGGATTACAAATCTTTGTTTATTCTGTACAACACACTCACTGTACCACATTTAACATACTGTGTGGAAGTTTGGGGGAATACATACAAAACAAATTTACAGCCATTATACTTTTTACAAAAGAAATCAATCCGAATACGTCATAAAGTGGGATACTGGGAACACACTAACCAGTTATTTATCAAATCAAATATACTGAAATTCTGGGACCTGGTAATATTTAGAACTTTACAGTTTATGTTTAAGGTCCGAAATCAAAAACTTCCACACAACATACAGGAAATGTTTGGTGACAGAGAGGGGGGGTATGATGTAAGAGGTGAAGGATACTTTAAAAAACAACACTTTAGAACAACCAGGAAGAGTTTTTTTTATTTTTATTTATTTATTTATTTTTTTAATTAGTTTTTATTTATTTTTTTTTATTTGTTTTATTTATTTATTTTTTTATTTTATTTTATTTTATTTTTTTATTATTTTTCTATTTTTTTTATTATTATTTTTATTTATTTATTGTTTTTATTTATTTATTTATTTTTATTATTATTATTATCATTTTTTATTTTATTTTATTTATTTATTTATTTATTTTTTGTTTATCTGTGTGTGGAGTAAATGTCTGGAATGGATTGAAGGACGAGTTTAAAAAAATTATAAATGCAAACCAATTTTTAAAAACTGATTAAAACCGAGCTCATTTCAAAATACGCTATATAAGATGACTGTTTAATAGTCTATAATGTAGTTGATGACATAAATAGTACTTAAAATAATTGTACATGGCTAAACATCACTTGGAATGGAAACAAGTGTTTTTTTTGGTTTTTTAATGTTTTGACAGTTAATTGATGATAAATTGACAAGTAGGAAAGGGGCGGGACATTATAAGATGTATCTTCTACCTGCTCCTTTTGGAACAGAAAATATAAAAATTTGCATGTCACATGGGCAAAATAATTTCTTTTATATTTTTATTCTTAAGTTTGTTTCATTCAAAATTTTTTTCCTTCTTGATTGTTTTTACTGTCTGTGCGAAATAAAAAATAAAAATAAAAAAGCCTTTATGAATTCTACAGGCAGGTTTACCACTATAGTAGATTCAAAACCTGAAATTATTGCTTTTACTTTCAGTGGCCACCCAAAGATATTTAGTGGCCCCATCTGGCCTAAAATTGCTTTTTAAACACCAATCTTTGTACTAAAATACTCTTACTGTCATGATTTAGATCTAAAGAGAAGCGCCATCTCCTGGTCAGACCCTGTAATTCAGTGACAGGGTGGAGTCAGATTAAAAAAGATATGTTGGGTTCATGGAGCGGAT